CGCCACAATACACTCACACACAGCTTGCAGTAGTTGTTGCATGAGCCTGGGCACGTACGTGCAACTTGTACAACAAGTGGATGCTTCAGACGTATACGCATGTCTACACACATTGGTATGACACGCTACCGCGCGTACAAGGCACGAGTTGGAGTGTCCTCAGGTCCCTTGGAGTCCTCAGTCCCCCGTCCTGAGGTTCTTTCAAGGGGCCCGGACCCCAATTCTCAAAATCTTCGTGGGAGTGGCGCGGCTCTCCTGGGGTTCGTCGCGTCTTGTCGCGTGTCTTGTCTGGGCCCAAGAGGAGTCACAAACAACCCAAAGGCTCCCAAGGGCCCCCAAGATGGTGCAAGAGAGCCTCTTGTCGCCGTAACATCGCTCCAAGACGTTCGGTGGCCTCGAGACGGCCCACGATGCCTCCAAGACTCCACAAGAGGATCCCAAGGTAGCTCCAACGAGGGCCCCACGAGGCAACAGCAATTGATTTCCCATTGGTTGTTGGGGAATTTGGGCGTTCTCGCTCACTCCGTCTTCGGACGCTCTAAAAGACGTCCCAAGAGGCCGCCAAGATCGCTCCAAGACGTCCCCAAAGGCACCCAAGAATGCCCCAAGACACGCTCCAAAACGGGCCAAGAGAGCCCCGATCCAGCCCCAAGAGGAACACGGACTAGTGTTCGGCACCCTGCACCCCAAAGGGGCCCCTAAGACCGCCAGCTGACCCCAAGAGGCCCCAAGAAGCCGCCAATCAAGAAACACGTCAAAAAGAGGCCCAACAAGGACATGAAGCAAACACGACGAAGCATCAGAACTGCATCACAAAACTCCCAACAGCCAACAGCCAGCCCAGAGGCCTCTAGCCCACGACCCCAGGCACGGTGGCGGTTAAGCCGAACGCCAGTGACATATAAAGCACACAGTATGAGCCAACATGGGGCCCACACCATCAATTACTGCACTGTGAAAATGTACGCTGTGTGGTGCATCCGTGTTGCGTAAGCTGTGTGGTGCAAGCTACGCGGTGCAAACGATTCGGTACAAGCTGTGTGGTACAAACTACGTGGTGCAATCGCACTGGTGCGACCTACGTGGTGCAAGCTGCGTGGTGCAAGACATGTGGTGCAAGATGGTTGATGCGAGACATGTGGCGAGAACCATGTGATGCAGGATGTGTGGTGCAAGCTACGTAGTGCAAGCTATGAGGCGCAAACTATGTGGTGCAAACTGTGTTGTGCAATATAGGTGGTGCAATCGAATTGGTGCCACCGATCGGGTGCAAGCTACGTGGTGCAACATATCTGGTGCAAGCCATCTAGTGCCATCCACAGACCTTGACATCGGCAACTCCACTGCTCGCGAAATCATCCCACCCTCCCGCTCGCAACTGGTTTTGCACAGTCCATGCGGCCGCGAATGCGGTGACAACTTTGCCCTAGCTGGCGCATCCCTGCGGCTGCGCTAGCGCGCGCAAGCTCGCGCGCAGAGCGGCCAACTGGTGCGACCCAACCGACACGGCCACGATGGCGCTTACCGATGGGATTGTCCCAGCGAGTCTCCAACGCCGCGCTGGCGCGCGGCTGCTTCATTGCGGGACTGTGACTCGGGCGGGCGAGGTATCATGATGATTTAGACAACTGCGGCAAAGATGATGCTACAGTCGAGGTGACAAGAAGAAACGCTAAATGAGAAACGAAGTCCCTTGTTGACGCTGACAACGCCTGGGTGCACGAGGAAGGCTAGAAGAACAACCACGGAATGACTTGAGGAACAGCGAGCACCATCCGATCCAAAGCGGTCCTTATTTCAGCGTCTTGACTATACTAGCGATGGTGGCAGCGATGATGTCGATGACGAAGCAAGTCTAATGACATAATCGATGCTGATGCCGACGATGGCGATAATGATGATGTCCATGTGTTGGTGACGGAGGTGATTGACTGATGATGGCGCCAAAGGCGGCGATTGACGATGACGATGCCAGCGGTGCTGCGATGGCGTTGATAAGGGTGATCGTGAGCGTGAGCGCGGGAATCCAGCACTGTCTTGAAATGCATCGAAAATCAATTATGTGTCCGAAGGATGTCGACACGCACGCGTGTATGGCCCACACATGGTACTATCATCTGATACGGAGTCGTGCGCTGGGCGCATGCTAGATCAACGCGGACGCACCGCGTGGTTAGAAGAGAATGCGGATTCTGGACGACATTACTAATCCCAAGGTTTCCCTCTGATAGCAGCAAATGTGCGTGGGCAGAACATCTGCAAGACTATTCATTAAACACCCAAGGGCACTTGATTTTGTATGTTGAAATGCTTGCAGAACTGGTGTGTGCTGGCGTGATTTCGACATGTGCGCGCGCGTGTGAACGTGGTGCCGTGTTCTGCAAGGGGTTATTGCAATGATTATGGTCTATTGCCATGAACGAACGTGCGCGCAACACATTCTCTGACAAGAATTGGGGGGTCAATACCAGGTGGCCTGGGATGGTATGACCTCATATGGAAAATAAACGATGGGGCAGAATCGTATGTAAATTGTGCTATCCCAGGGTGTATCGACAACCCAGGCGGGTGATAGAACACACGTCTTTCGACAGGAGAATCGACGTGGTGCGAGCTATGTGGAGAAAGCTAGGTGGAGAAGGCCGTGTGGTCCCGCCCACGTGGTCCAGTGGACGTGGTGCAAGCTGCTTCCTTGCCCCGTCTTTCCACGCACCCAGGCGCTCACTGCCCACAGGCTTGCGGCACGGACGTGGCGCAAGCTCTGAGGCGCCAGCTCCGCTCGGCGGTGTGAGCCGCGCCGTCCCTCGGGGCGCCCACGGGGCGCCCACGAAGCGCCCACGGGGCGCCCACGAGGCGCCCACGGGCGGGGCCCGGGCGGCACCCTGGCCGCCTATAGACGACGTGGACCACTCCCGGCGCGGGCCGCCCACGCGAGGCGCCGGCGGCCCGGCACCGGGCGAGAAGCCTCGAGGCGTGCACCCCCGCCAGCGCGGGGCGCGCCCACCTTGGCGGGCACCTCGGCGAGACCCCGCGGGCGTGCCCCCGCCGGGCGCGGGGCGCAGCGCCCACGGCCGCACGGGGCGCCCGCGGGGGGGCACCAGGCGAGATCTCGGCAGGCCCCGCCCCCTCCCCCCCCAAGCGCGGGAAGCCCACGGCAAGAGCACCGAGCAGGCGCCCCTGACTGCAAAACACTATGCGGGGAATTTGCTGTTGCGTTGGGCTATCCATGCCTTCCGGCCCGAAGGGGCATGAATCATGCGAGGATAGAGTTGGGTACGGATACATCGAGAACCTCTGAGATCCGGCGGATCTGGAGGATGCCTCTGGCGCCGCGACGTTCTCAGAGCGTTCGGGAAGGCTCTGAGAGCGTTCTGGGACGCCCTGAACGGATTTGTCCTCGTCTTAGCCCCGTCCGAATCCATGCCGTCAAGTCCAAAAGAGTCTTAATCATGCTCAGGAAATCCCCAGGAGGGCCCAAGATGGGCCACGAGGGCCCCAAGAGCACAGTACGGCCCAGCCCGAGCAGGCCTCTGGGGCCCTGCGCAGACGGCCCAAAATGCGGAGGCGACCAAGACGCGCACAGAACGTGCTCAGTAAGGCGGTAAGACAGCCCACGAGGGCCCTCCGATGGCCCAAAGACTCCCGAGGACAGCCCAAAAGAGGCCAATGATGCCACCAAGACGCTACAAATCGGCCCCAAGAGAGCCCCACGGACATGCCAACGCGGTCTGAAGAGGTCAGAAGACTCTCCAAGAGCCATTGACAAAAACCACCTCATCCTCGTCCCCCTTTCTTTCTGTCTTGCTCTCCCTCGTTTCCTCCTTCTGCTCCTCGAGTCCTCCCCCTCCTCCTCGTCCTCGATTGCCCCTCCCTTGCTCCTTACCATTTTCTTGGCTCAAAGACCACGGAGCCTTCATGAGTCAAGGGAGGTGGCCCACCAAAAAAGAAAGCGGCCAAACACACTGGCCCTGTAGCGGCACTCTACAGATCTCCAACCTGCGGGGTGGGGGAACGCAAGCACTCGTATCCGACTCCCCCCTCTTGGCACGAAACAGACGGGTCCTGAGGGAAACGGCGGAGGAGGAGGAGATTTGTGTCCAAGGTAGTTCTGGACCCCAGGGTCTCCCCCACTTGCTTATCCTGGGCCTGTCTTTGACGCCTCCGGGGCCCTGGGGCCCGCGGAGGGCGCCGACCGACAGCCGGACAACGGCGGAAAAAAAGGACCCGTTTCCCTCAGGACTGAGGGGCAACGACAGGGGGGGATAGGCATATGGGGGGGATGCATCGGCCTGGAATCGGGGATACATCGCCGATAGATCGGCAATAGGCCGCCGATAGCGAATCTGCACCTTCCTGGGCAGGGTGGGGCTAACGGACCTCTATCGGCGATCATTGGACGATTGGGGATCGATGCATCCCCCCTGTGCCTGCCCCCCCCTATCGTTGCCACTGAAGGACCTCTTCCCCTGGTCTCCCGGTCAAAACTTGGGTCGCCAGCGGCCGCTCGGGAGGACTCGAGCTTCCCCGGAACGCTCTCTGCGAGGCGCAGCGGTTGGAACGCATCCCGAGGTGGGAAAACCGACCTCAACGAGAACCTCGGGGCGCGTTTCACGTAGGACCCGCTTGCTCCATGGCGGTCCTGGGGACGCAGACGGACATACTAGTAGCATGCGTCCTCCTCGGATGCGCGCGCCCGACCCGAACATATGGTATGACCGTCTTGTAGTAGATCGGTTCCCGAGCGGCATGGCCAGGAAGCCCCCGCCAAAGGGCTTACACTGTCAGATTTCTGGGTGCCCGCGTCGCCCCTGGGGGGCCGACACACACACACACACACTTTCACCATCGCACAGGACCCCAGCGGCTAGGGGAAGGACAAAAACAAGGCAAGGGGAGGGAGGCGGAGGGGAGGGGAGAAACCACGGCGACACACACACACACACACAGAATGAGTGCTGGGTGACGCCGACGCCTCCCTCCCGCATGGCGCGCCCGCGAGCCTCCGGAGCCCTGCCTCTGGGCCCAGGCCGCGGGGCCCCGGAGGCGTGCCGGCTCCAACAGAACTCCCGGCTCTCGCGCCCGGGCGCGCCCTCCAACCTCCACCTCGGCGGCGCGCAGGGGGCTGGGCTCCTCCTCCTCCTCCTCGTCCTCCTCCTCCTCCTCCTCCTCCTCCTCCGCCTCCTCTTCCTCATCCTCCTCCTCGTCGGCGGCGAGGTCGAGGGGGCGAGGCGCGGGGGAGGAAGGCCTCCTCGGAGGGCGGCGGGCCTGCTCGGAGGCCCTCGCGCCCTGGGGGAGCAGCCTCGCCTGGTGGCCTTCGTGGGCGGCGTCGAGGACGTCTCCGGAGGCCGGGGGGGACTTCCGGGCTGCCTGGTCGGCTGCGCGCAGGAGTGGCCCCTGGGGAGGCGTGGCCCTGAGGTGAGCGGTCAGGGGGGGGGGGGCCATTCGGGGGCACCGCCAGGCGCGCAAGCCACTGCTATCGCACAGCATTCGGCGATCGGGGGGCCCCATTGGGCCCGCACCAAGGGTCACTCCAGCGAAAGGTCACTCGTGCGTGTGTAGTCGATCTGAGAAGGCCTTGTCCTTCTCGCTTCCCCCTGGGCTCGCCGCCGATTGGGGGGGGCACCATCGACAGGGGCGCCCAGGATGGGGGCGTCAAGGGAGGGGTTCGCCAACCATGGCCCGAGGCGTGTGCGCGGGCGGGTGGGCCAGGGAATCTATTGAAACTGGAACCACGCGCGCGCGCGCTTTGCGCGCGCTTCGGACCCTGCTCAACACTGATTACTAAACTACCAGACCACCCCAACCCAGCCCGAAGACCCGAATCCCACCAGCCCTCTGGGCGTAGGTGGTCTAGAGCAGATCCTCTTCCACCCCTCCCTCTTCCCCCTTGGGGAGGGGTTTACCCCTCCCCCTACCCCCTCCCCTGGACCTGGACGGGGGGGGCCGCGGGTAGTTAGAGCGTCCCAGATGGCCCAAGACGGCTCCAAGAGCGCCTCAGAGAACCCAAGATGAGCTCCAAGATGGCTCAAGATAGCGCAAGATCGCTCGAGATGGCTCCTAAGATGGTTCCAAGAAGCCCAAAGACGGCCCCAAGATAACTCCAAGTGGCCAAACAGCTCCCCAAGGAGGCCCCGAAGAGGCCAAAATCGTCCCAAAACCTAAGGAAAATCAATGATTTTTGCTTTCTCGCCTTTTCGCTTCCGATGGCCATCCGAGGCCTGGAGATGGCTCCAAGATGGCCCAAGAGGGCCCCAAGAGAGCCCCAAAAGAGCCCCAAGACGGCCCCAAGAGCGCCCAAGAGCACTCCAAGAGCGTTCCAAGAGGGGTCCAAGAGGCGATTTTAGGGGCTTCCGAGGGGGGACGCTAATTAAACCCCCCCTCTTGTTTGATCGACTCCCTCCAAGATGGCCCCAAAAGCGCCCCGAAGGCTCCCCAGAGCGCCTCAAGAGGGTCCCAAGAGGCGCCCAAGATGCCCCAAGGCGCCCAAAAAGCCCTCCAAGAGGCCCTCAAAAGACCCCCAAGAAGCTCCTTCCCCTCCTCCTCCTCCTCCTCCGATTCTTCCTCCTTCTCCGTCCTCCTCCTCCTCCTCCTCCTCCTCTTCCCCCTCCTCCTCCGACGACGACGACGACGACGACTCCTCTTCCATCCTCCCCCTCTCGGGGTCTGTGACAGCTTCCCCCGCCCTTTGTTATTCTGCATGCTCCCCGACTTCCCTGCTCACCTCAACTCCCCTGAGCATCGTTTCTGGATGGGCTGGTGGGGATACGCGAAGCGTCAACAATTTCGGGTTGGGGGAGTACGGGCTTCATTTGTGTGCCTTTCAATCTTCCCCGACCGCCATCCACTGGAAATGGGTGGCACATTGGAACTTTCGGGATGGGTTGGGGTGGTTTAGTGGGTTGTGAAACACAAATCAACGTTTCGACACAGTCGGACTGTGCGTATCGCCACGTCTGTCTTGCAAGTGCTTCGAACCGGCTGGAGCATTTGTCACACTCCTCCCCTTACGTACTCGCCCCCCCAGTCTCTGTTCAGTCTCCTCTGCTCTCTACTTCATCCTCCCTCTGGCTCCTCCCTTCCACCCGCAGTCCCTCCCTCCTCGCTCTTCTCTCCTGTCTCCTGCGTCATTTCTGCTCTCGGGTTTCGCGGGGGGAGCCATTGTTAAACCATCCCGAGACCTTAGAGGCATATTGGAAGAGAAGAGACGAGGTCTTCAAAAATCCATCGGCTTCCTTCGTTTTGTTATGTGTGTATCGATTCGGCCGTCCTGGGGGCCCCTGGGAGGCTTCCAAGAGCCTCTTGGGGCCGTCTGGGTGCAATCTTGAGCTGCCTTGGCGGCCTCGAAATCCGTCTAGAAACCATCTTGGGCCGTCTCGGGACCATCTTGAAGGGTCCCGGGGGCCCTGGTGGACCGTCGTGGGGCTCCCTCGGGATCCTCTGAAGCGCTCCTGGCGTCCTCTAACGCTTTCAGAAGCCGTCTTGGGGGCAATCTGGGAGGTCTCTGGGGTCGTCATGGGGGACTCTGGGGCGCTTTGGGGGCCGTGTTGTGGCCTGGTGGGGCCAAGCCTCGGCCACTTGACGACCATCCCAAAGCCTCAAAGCCCATCGGAAGCGAAACAACGGGATCTTCCAAAACGTATGGTTTCGCAACGGCGTTTCACTGATTTGGGCCTCTTGCTTTTTTGAGTTAGCCGAACTCCGCAGGCTTTACGTACGCCTGTCATGTAGACGTACGGCTGCTCACTCAGTGAAGTTGCCGTCGCCTTCGGGAGGCGCCCGATGGCATCCCTCCACAAGTTAAAAAAACCTCTCTAGGGTACACATTCCGACGGTCACCTGGCCGAACGGCCGTGCGAACGCGACACAAAAAGCAGACGAGCATAACTTGACGACGTCGGCGAACCACAAAATAATAGATCACTGCGCCCCGTGAGCCCGCAGAACCTGGATCACAGCGTCGTGCCTGTTCTGCGTGGCGACGTCGAGCGGCTTCCGGCCCTGAGCGTTGGCCTGCGCCACGCTGCCACCCGTCTTGAGCAGATACTCTACCAACTCCTTGCGCCCATAACCAGCCGCGTAGTGAAGCGCCGAGTTGCCGTTGGAGTCGACCGCGAACGGATTGGCCCTGCTGTCCAGCAGCAGCTTGACGACGGCGATACGGTTTCCGCCGACGGCGTAGCCCAGCGGGGTAATGCCCCTCGGGTCCTGGGTGTCCAGTGGCCTCTTCTTCTCCATGTGCTCCTGGACAGCCTTGAGGTCGCCCATCTTGGCCGCCTCGTGCAGCGAGAGAGGGGTCTCGTCGATCTTCTTCAGCGCGGGCTTGAGCTCCTCCGGCACCCCGCCCATGGCCTTGCTGAACTTGAGCATCAGCTCCTCGTCCTGGTAGTGCTTCATGACTGCCTCCATCCCGTGCTTCTTGATGTCCTCGATGATGGGGGCGAGCTCCGGGTCCTGCTCCAGCGCCCTCATGCGGCCCTGCACCTCATTGTCGGCGCCCCCCAGCTTCCCCTGGTAGTGGTCCGACATGGCCTGCGTCTGCAGCCAGCCTCGCATCGCCTCGGGGTCCTTCGAGAAGGCCTGCAGCTTCTTGGCCACGTCTGGGTTGCCCTGCAGGTAATCCATCACCTCGCCCCAGGTGGAATCGTCAACGCCAGGCACCTTGGCGATGCTGATCTCGGTGCCGTCGCCCAGGCGGAGCACATCCGGGGAGGCGACGGCGGCAGCCATCGCGGAGGGCAAAGACCACTGGAACAAGGCGAGGCTCCGAGAAACGGGGGCCAGGCTCTATCTGAGCCGCCGACCTTGAGTCAAAATGGCTTGAGCCAAAATGTCTTGAGCCAAAATGGCTACGGAAGGCCTCTTAGGGCTCTCTTGAAAGTCTCTTGGAGCCAGAATCCTTTCTGATAAATCCGTGCAGTTTGCCTCTGGAGAGCCTTTCTGGGCCCCTGTTGGACCCCTTCGCGCGGTCCTTGGGGTCTCGTCTGACCAGCTTGTGACCATCTAGGTGCCCCTTTGGCCGCGTTGGTCCGTCTTACCGGTCTCTTGGCGTCCTCTGGGGCCGTCCTGGAGGCCGCATGGGGGCCTGGAAAATCGCTCGGAACGCTGAAAAGGGCCCGCTGGCCCGGGGGACTAAAGTCGGGTGCGAGGTGGGTGGGGGATGTTTAAAAAAAGGGGGGGCCCGGGCCCGGGGACCTAGTCGCCGGTTAGAATTATGATTGTAAGTCTGATCGTGAACATTCGTAAGTGTAGTATTGATGTTTCTGCTTTTCGTGATATGATTATTCGTACGATTAATATCATTCGTAGCAGTAATATAATGTTTACTGGTTACTTGATTAGAATTACAATTAAAAATAATATTAGCATTACTCTTATGATTAATATGAGTATTCGTATTCTCATTCGTGCTCCTCATATAGGAATACCAAGATAAGCAAAGAAGGGCCATGAAATCTGTGGAGATGTCATGGCCCCCCGGCCATTATACCTCATTCCCTAGCCATCTCCCGCTATGGGACCCTCCTGCGTGGGAGGACAATGGAAATAGTAACCCCACCTTGGATGTGGGGAACATCGGGCCCACTTCAGACGCGGGGGACTAGAACCCCACTTCAGATGTAATTGCGAATGGCCGCTCGTATTCAAATCGCCGCTACATATCATGGCCGGTCAGCCCCGGCCAGCCCCGGCAAACCCTCCAGCATCCTGACCTCCTTCCACCTCCGACTCCCCCTCATCCCCCTCCTCCCCCTTTCCCCGCCTCCTCCTCCTCTTCCTCCTCGTCCTCTTCCCCTCTGAGCGCCAGGCCCACAGATCGAAGAAGACCCCCCCTCCCCCCCTCCGAAGCATGAGGTGAGTGCCGCCCGCTCTGGCGACGAAACGCGCGGATGCTGCACGGCAACGGGACCCGTCGCCACTCCACGCGCCTCCATCCACGCTGGCGTCTCCTCGAAGCGTGACCCGAGCACTTCTTCTCGAGGGCTTCCTGGCCGACCGAGAGAGAAGCAGAGTGCGCGTGCACACCGAGCCCCTGCGACACCCCTCGGCCCGGATCAGTGGCGAGCAAGGGGGGGAAGCAAGACAAGGCCAGGCAAGGCAACTCTGGGGTGCTATCAATGCGCCTTCTATCTGAAAAGGTTGCTAAATCACTAGCACCTCAATGGCATCAAAGGTGCAGCTTCCCACAGCGGCTGGTGCTGCAGGTGGAACTCACACGGGCGGGGAGGAAGCGAGAAGGAGGAGGCCTTCTCAGGAGGCGCGTCGGGGCTTCCCAGTAGCCCTCGGGTCTTCTGAGGAGTGTTCTGTGCCTTCGGGGGGAGGCTCGGGCCACTTCTCGAAAGGCTGGGGGACTCCCGAGCCTTCCGAGAAGGCCCGCCCCTTCTGAACCCCCCCCCTCCTCCTCCCCCCTCCTCCCCCCTCCTCCTCCTTCTCCTCCTCCTCCTCCTCCTCCTCCTCCTCCTCCTCCTCCTCCTTTTCCTCCTCCTCTTCCCCCCTCCTCCTCCGGGCGCACCACCGCCGACCTAAGCCCCTCCCCCCGCGCGCCGCCGCCCACCGCAGGCTCAGCGGCGGCCACTCGTTGTCGAGCAGCGAGGCCGCGTCCAGGACGCCCAGTGGGGGGCGGGGGACTCGGTGCGGGAGGCGTGCAGGCCAGGGGCTCTTGCTGCAGAGGGCAGGCGAGAGGGGGCACAGAGGTCGGGTCGGGCATGTCATCCTGCAGGCAGATTTTGCGCAAAAAAATAAAATTGTCCCCCCCCCACGCCCCCCCAAAGAACACAAAATTAATCAAGAATCGTCCCCAGACTATTCTCTTACTCGTTTTGGATGTTCCTCCTGTAGAGAGACAGGACCCACTTGACACGAAGGGCCTCTCCCGAGGACAGACCCAACCGTCAGAGCGCACCGAAGCAGGACAAGGGGCAGGCCAGCGAGGCAGGAACATGCGAGTACAGTCAGCACATACAGTAAGAATGCGCGGTAGGGATGCAAGGGCCTTGGACGCCCATGCCGAGGCTCTTGCAGCAAGGCTAGCCATCGAAAGTGGTTGAGGATGGACCGAAGATGTTCGAAGAGGCAAGGATGCAAGGGTACCCTCGGGAAGTCGATCATCCTTACTACGCTGGCTGACTGTACGCACAACTCGACGAGAGACAGCAGACCACACAACACGAGATAAGCGAACTACCGCAGACGAAGGGAACTGCCCGCGATGGTCAGGACGCAAAGGCACGCTGAATTCTGCAGGGTCGACGCGTACTGATCAAACCTACCCGCCTGTATGGGAGCAACGAATGCCGCCACCACCACCACCAGCGCGAGGAGCGGGGTCCACCTGGTGGTGATGGAGACTTGTTGTAAGGGTCTGGCGAAAATCCGGTTTATCGGGCCAGTCCACCGCCCCCCCCTCCTGCCCCTGGATGAACTGACCTCGTCGGTTGCGCAGGTCCGCTTATGCCCGCGCGGCTTTCTTGCATCTGCGCTGGGACTCCCTGGCAGCGCCTCCGGGGCCGCGACTAACGCGCTCCGTATGCCACTGAGTGGGCTCCAGCACAGATCCAAGAAATCCGCGCGAAGCTCCAACACTGCACGCTCGTGCAATTGGTTTTTCTTCGACTTAACCTCGCCCTCACCTGTCCAGTTATTGGCGGCGCGCACAAGGGGGTGGAGGGAGGGGGGAGGGCTTCTCAGAGGGAGGCTGCTTCTTAGAAGGCGCCACCCCTGCATCCACAGCAGAGGCCCGCGCGTTCGGAGAAGCACGGGTGCTTCTCAGAAGCCCCCCTCCCTCCGTCCACCCCCTCTCTGCGCGTGGCTGACGCTAGCCTGGCCGTTCCTCCAACGCAGCCCTACCCTACCAACGAAGGAAAAGAACCTGGGCAGGGACTGGTCAGGTGAGGGTGCAAGGCCGCGCAACTGAGCAGCCCATGTCTCCAGCACCCATTCTCCCCCCACTGGCATGTACTTCGAGCCCCACTTGATCTGTATATCCTGTCATGTCCTCCAGCGGGGGACAACGGTGGGCGCGCGTGAGACGAGCTCCCTCATCGGATCATTGGAAACATGGAGCTTATCTCAAAGCTTCGAGGACCCCTGGGGAAGGGGAATGCGGAACGGCGGCGGCAGGAGGGAGCAGAAAGAGAAGGGAGAACGACGAGGGACGAGGGGGGAGGAAGGAGACAGGAGAATAGGGAGGACGAGGAGAGGCACCAAGACGAGGAGAGGAATACTGGAGAGGGGAAGAGGCGGAAAAACCTCATCTGCCTGTCCAGCATTGCAGCTCGAAGCCGGAGCGTCGGGACGGAGCATGCCGCTGGGATTGTCGCTGGGCTCCAGGCGGATGAGACCTGGGGTTGTCTTCTCCTCTCCACTTCTGCGCGTCGTGGTCACTGTCATCTTGCTCTTCCAGAAGAAGAAAAACTGCATAAGCATAAACGTTCCGAACTCCGCTCGAATTTCTTGGATCGGCGCTGGGCCCCCTTCCCTGGCACGTGGAGCGCGCAAAGACGGCGCCGGCGGCGCCACCAAGAGGTCCAGCGCAGATTGAAAAATGCGCTGAGCTCCAACAATGTATGTTTATGCAACATTTGATTCTTCGATTCTTGCCGTGCTCCAGCCACAGATCGTACGTCGAACCGTTTGATTCATCATACCATTTGCCCGCCAGAGCCAAGAACGCGTCCACGTCGCTCACATCGTCCATAAGCCAAGCGGGCGGACCGTGAGGCAGCGCCTGCCGGAAGGCCTTCCGAAAGGGCCTCGGCCAGACCGCCCTTCCAAGTGGTGTTCAATGGTCTTCGTGCTTCGCCGATATCAGCGGCGCATGCACTCCAGCTATTGGTCATCACACATGCACAGGGAGGTCCCTCTGGCGGGCCTGGCTCGGTCCGCAAGGCGCGCTTCGAGCCCAAACGCACCAGGTAAAACATCACATATATCATTGCACATGTCTACAAGAAGACGGAACGCCAAGGCATACTGTTCTGGCAACCAGTGGAAGACGGAAGGCCAAGACGGAGCGCCAACTCAAATCAATGATAATATTCCAAAGCATACCTTCTGTGGCACAATATCCGCGAAGCAGTATGCGTGGTGCGATACACGGACGCCGAAATATCTGTGTTCGCTGATGAGCTGTCGGATCAGCTGCTCGCGCAATCGTCCCACCATCCCAACATCCCCCAAGCGACCTTTCGTGAGAACTACCAAGGGCTCGCCACGTGCGCACGGCACCGCGTTCCGAGTGGACCCCAGAGAGCGCACCACATCGGCTGCTGTAGTCCACGCTGATCTCTTGCATCTGCGTCAGACCCTCCTGGGAAGCCTATCTTCGTGCCGCTCTTTCTTCTTCGAACCTGCTCCTGCCTCTGCTCGGCTCGATAGCCGCACGACCGGCAGGGCCCTCCAGCACTGAGAAGCTGAGTGCGGTCGGACCTAGGACAGAGGAACATCCTGCAAGAACATGAGACCCTCCACAGCCAAGGCACGCAGAACATGCAAAGGTGCCTTCCCACTCGCTCCCTCGCTTCCTCCTTTCTTCCTGGGCGTGTGACGGTCCCGGGCGGGTTTCAAAAAGACCGCGGGTGAGTTGTGGGGCATGTCACGGGGGAGCTGCGGCGAGGGTCGCGGATGCGTCGCGGCGCGGGTCGCGGGTGGGTCCTTGGGCGGGTCGCGGGTGGGTCGTGGTCGTGGTTCAGTCGCGGGTCGGGTCGTGGGTGGGTCGCGGGGCGGGGTCGGGAAACATCAGTGAAACTCCGCACCTCGTAAGCCCACTTCAATCACGCACCCAGGAGACCGCTCGGCCCCGTCACCCTGACTTGAGTTCAGCTGTTCCCTGTTGAGCCTTGCCACTTCTAGTGCTGTATACTGCTTGCGGCCTGCATTATCCACGATCGTTCGAACACCATTTAAAACACTGCATCCGCAATGCGCACATCAGATCGTCGTACGAACTGATTGGTATAGGATGCACCGCGCGAATCCTGATCTTTGCAACAGGGCAGCATCCACGTCATCACATATGCTTTCCGATCGAGTAACCTCGGCGGCACGCCCGACAACATGGGAATCGGGCCGCCGTGCAAAACAAACTCTGGGTCCTGACTACTACTACTACTACTACTACTACTACTACTACTACTACTACTACTACTACTACTACTACTACTACTACTACTACTACTACTTACTACTACTACTACTACTACTACTACTACTACTACTACTACTACTACTTACTACTACTACTACTACTACTACTACTACTACTACTACTACTACTACTACTACTACTACTACTACTACTACTACTACTACTACTACTACTACTACTAGTACTACTACTACTACTACTACTACTACTACTACGACTACGACTACGACTACGACTACGACTACGACTACGACTACGACTACGACTACGACTACGACGACTACTACTACTACTACTACTACTACTAAGACTACGACTACGACTACGGCTACGACTACTACGACTACGACTACGACTACGACTACGACTACTAATACGATTACTAATGCTACTACTACTACTACTACTACTCCTACTACTACTGCTACTACTACTACTACGACGACTACTACTACTACTACTACCACGACGACTGCTACTACTACTACTACTACTACTACTACTGCTACTACTACTACTACTACTGCTAACGATCTGGCAGCGGCGGACAATCTCGCATGGTCGACCGAAACGACAAGGTGGCAAACACAGAAGTACGTAATGATGCGCTTGTGGAGACTGATACCATAATTGCAAGAACCGCAACAACACAACGCGCTCAACCAACTAGCTATGTCAACGCTGTTTCGTGCTGCAAGTTGCTCCACAGGCCACGAGTCTGGTGGCCCCCGATTCCTGAGCCTGGCGGCGCTAGTGTCAGGGTGGTCCCGCCCCTTTCCAAGGATGTGGGAAAAGGGGGCGAATCAACTATCTCTGACATGCCCAACGCATGTTCAACACACACACACAAACACACACACACAAACACAACATGCGTTGACTTCCAAGGCGGAGGGGTTGTTTGCTGTCTGGCTATTATTCGTCCGATTGCTCCCCCTGTCTCAAATATAAACAAAGAGAATATTACGTCTGACACGCACCCGCGTCATTCCGTATTCGTTCGTTCCCGCAGATCCCCTTCCCTACATCACTCATACCCACATGCGAACACTCAACCATACCCATTTCCGTTAGCATATCAGACCCATGTATCCCAGAACTGACTGATACCAACGTTTGAGGATAATGAGACGACCTAGTACTCGGACTCATCCCTTACCCAACTAACTCATGACAACCTCCCTACCCAATCGCCCATACTCATGCTATAACATTACCTCCCACTGAGGCCAGTGAAAGAGCGCAGGTAGAGAACAGGAGTGTCCCGACCCTTGCTGCCCGACGGAGTGTAAGTAAGGAACAGGAGTGTCCCGACAGACGGTGCTGCAAGTAAGGAACATAAGTGTCCCGACAAAGCCCCTTGGGCCAGCTGAGGTCTTGAGCCAGGGATAGCGTGCATGAGAGTAGTGCGAGATAGTAGCAGGCAGATGGGTCATCTGTTCTCGTCTGGGCTCAAGTCTTTAAGCAAGCTTGATCCTGGCTGTGGAACTGAACTGGCGTCAGCGATATCCAACGTCGTTTGCCCTGCAGGTACCAAAAGGGAGCGCGATCATGATTAAGTTTTGTCTGCTCATTCTTCCGATGTCGGTGCCAGCTACCAGGAGTCAGGAGTCGACTCTGGTAGCGGAGCTCCGGCTCCCATGGACTTCGTGGACGAGCCCAATTGCGGCGTTGACCGAGCCTACTTCTTCAGCAAGTTCGGGTGCTACAGCGTTGCTATGCACTACGGGGGCCTCCAGGAACGGAGGCAGGTACTACAGGAGCAAGCGTGACATGCTGGCCATCGTCCTCCTCGCCTGCGGCGATAATTTCAGCACGAGCGAAATGAAGTACGACCCGTACGATGGCGTGCGCGCTGGGGAGAGCAAGACGCCTGCGCCCATCGGCGGCTTCGGGTATCAGAACCCAGCGCCAGACCTGCAAGCGGTGGAGCTGGCCCAGCTGAGCACCTCGAAGGTCCCTCCATTCTGGGCGCCATACTTGGAGCGGAAGGGATACCCGTTCCGAGTGTGGGTGCAAGACATATTGTTGTGGTATGTTGCGACGGAGCTACGCGAGGCGCAGCAGGGGCCGGCTATCGTCCAGAGGCTCGGCGGCACAACGAAAGACATCTGCGGCGAGGTGCCGGTGGAGACGATCTCCCGCTGGGACGTCCAGGGGAACCAGATCAAGAACGGCGTGAGCAAGGTGATCAACGGACTTCGCAGACGGTTCGGCCAAATGGAGATTGAGAGCTCAGTGATGCTTGTGATCGAGCAGATCACATTTCAGAGCAAAGACCACGAAACCATTTACGATGCAGTGACAAGGTTCGAGGCGGTGCGTGCTCGACCATTGGCTGGCAATCAGGTGGCGGTCAACATGGAGATGCCCGTCCTGGCGCTCAGCTGGAAGCGCTGAGAGTCCCTCGTGCGGTGTGGCCCCTCGTCCTGCAGGCCACGGGTGGACAACTGCTAGTGACTGGTGACCAACTGATGGCTGTGATCAACATGGTGCGGAGGCAGGACCACATCGCGGAGCACACGCACAGCAGACCGCGCGACGTGCACAAGGGCCTTCGATGCGGACGATGTGGCCACCATTACACGGACGGCGGCGATGAAGGTTGCTGGTACGGCGGATGCCAGCCAGTGAACAGCTGGGGTGCCACGGCTGCTTACTTGGCGGGCCAGACCTCCGGCAATTCCGGCTACGCGGCCAACGCGGCGAGCTCGTCGAGTGCAGCGCCCCAGGAGAGCTACGTGACGGACGAACGCGGCTGGTGCTCGTGCACCACGTGCGGATCGTGACTCTCCGACGATTATGCGGACACGGACGACAGCGAAACGGATAACGAGCAGGTGGACACCAGCCAGATCACCGAGCAGGAACTGGAGCAGTACTTCGGCAGCTACGCCAACCACGACTACGACTCGCTGCGTGAGGACTACATGTTCATGAAGCGCCACTTCCGCCACTTCGCCAACCGGGGATCGCGACGAACGAGGTTTCCGCGGATCAACTACTCCGTGAGAATGCGCATGGGCCTCATGGGCCAAGGCAAGGACATGGGCAAGGGCAAGGGCAGCGTGGTCATGAGCTCTTTCCTTCTGGCGGAAAGGGTTCATGAAAGGCGGCAAGGGCGGGGGCAAGCACAACAACCTCCTGTCTGGCGCACCAATCTCCATGAACCCGCGCGGCGCCGGTGGCAACATCATGAAGTGCCAACCGTGCAAGAGCGAGGGGCACCTCATTGCAGCGTGCCCGGAGCGGGCTGCTCTCAACCAGGGCAAGAAGGGCGGCCGCAAGGGCAAGCATTTCGTCACCTGGACGGGCGAGGAGATCAACTTGACGGCAGTGTACTCGGGAACCGCGATGGAGGTGAGAGCCCCGCCAGTATCGCAACAGCCTCGCCTGGCGCCCTCGCGGCGCGAGCTGGTCCGTCGGGGCGAGCGCCGTGCAGGTGGAGGAGCTGGACAGCCACCCGCCGGTGGTCACCTGGCAGACGCTGCTCGTGCACGACGAGGCCGAGGAGGGCTCGGCGGCGGCGCCCTCGGCGGGAGCTACGGCGCCCGCAGCTTCGGCAGCGGCGACGGCTCCGGAGCCACTAGCGGCCGTGACGACGCCGAAGCCGCCGACGTCGAACGTCACCTGGTTCCCCTGGTGGCGCATTGAGCAGGTGGAGGCCGCGGCGCCGACTGCCGAGCACTCCATGAAATACAAGGACGGCGAGGCGCTGTTGGTGAACCCTTGGAGCGTTAGCAACGTCACGGGCGACGAG